TTACATTATTTTTATTTGTCTGTCAATGGTACAAAATAGTAGATTCCGTTACAATAATAATATAATCTTGTTTATATTAAAGATGCAAACCTAGTAAACCTTTTTTCATCTTTTAAAAAATGTATGTTATGTTACGAGTGTCTAGAGTGTCGTTGTAATGATGTTTACCTGCCATTATTTCAGAATATGTTTTATTTAAAGAATAATGTTCATGATGTTACCGGTAACATGTAGACAAAACGAACCCACGACGAACGTGTAGCGAAATAGTCTACCCAAATCGCCGTGTTAAACAACAATAAAGAAAGAGTCATCCCGAAGGTAACGGTTGTAACTTTATAAGTCAACTGTCACGAAGTTAAGCATTATATGTATGTATATTATTAAATAAAGAACGAGAATGTATGTCACAATGGATATAATATTTCTTAAATATGTTGTTCTAACAGAACATAAAATTTGTTTTCAATTTAGTATACTGAAAATCGTTTCAAATCTATTGAATCAATTTCGAATATATTCCATTTCCCCCAATCAGCTCGTTATATATTATCATTATCAAATTAACTATGCACTCATCATAATTTACGATTCTATTTCATTACTCTTATATCATTAATTAATATTATATAAATTACCAAGACTCTTCTCAATGTATAATTTCTCTATTCTTATCTATACCATTGTAAATGTATACTTTTGTAACACCATACTGTCATTATATCTATATCATGTACTTATATAATTGTCGAGCTATAATAGTTTTAACTGGAAGCTAATCAAAAAAAAAAAATTTCGAATATTCATTTTGCTTGGTTATCAAAACATAAACCTTATTTTCGGTATAATATATAAAACTAATGATGAGATATTTTTCGATATTGTTGTTTGTATATATGTCGATGGGGTATTATTAAAAGGTATCTCGCTTTTAATTCTGTCGACTGAAAACCATAATATTTATCATATGGTTTAGCTTGATACGCAGATGAGTCTGGTCGGCTATGGTAAAAAATCTGTTACGTAAAATATTTGTAACCCATAAATTAATAATAAAAAAAAAAAACATGAACAAAAACGATAACATTGAAAACTAATAAACTGTAAACATTCCGAATAAGATTACAAAGAGTCAAAAAGATACGCTACGAGTGGTTTAGCACAGACCAGAATGGGTGGGTGTGATAAAGTGTGATGGTTTAAGACGGTGTAGTGACACTGCTGCTACTGCAGGGGGTCGATGTATACGTACACGAGATGACGAGTGGTAAACATGACGTGACAAGGCAATTTGCAGAAAAGAAATTGATATACAAGTCTCTATTTATTTTTTTTTCTTGCTCCTCGCAAACCACGTCTGCATTATATATTGTGGTCAAAACGACTTGTTTTCATTAAAACTTGTAGTTATAGTATCTGTATTAAATACAGTACGTGTGAGTGTGTGTGTGACATACGAAGGATATAATCGAATGGTTTATTTTATATTCCTCTTTCTTTAGGCTGTGTAAACTAACACATAGGCGATGTGTTATTTACTACAAGGGTGCTACGTGAGTGATCTCTCTCTCCTTTTTTTCTATTTTTTTTTACCTTATTAAATTATTACGATTCATCATAACCAATCATCATATATAAGCACATGCGCGCTCAAATTATTCAGCACTATATATCGTTGTCTTATAAACAGTAATTGTTTATTAGCTTAATGTTATTATTTATTATACTACCAATCGTAATTATCATCAACTATATCTATAGTTATTTTTTACATCATATCGAATTTTTTTTTTGCATTTCAGTTTATATTAGTTAATATTTAAAAAAAATATAATACAAATTACGATTATTTTAACTGGACCTATATTAGTTATTTGCTAAAATTAATGTTACGGGAAATTCTAAAATATTTTAATTTAGGTTGACTCTCCATCAATAAGCCTATATTGCGACTATGTCCAAACTAATTCGAAAACGATTAATAACGGTTATTGTTGTCGTAATCTGACGTGCAAAATAATTACAATTATTATTTTTATACGTGATTAACCCACAGTACACGCTGATATAATAAACGCATAAAATGAATTTGTATTATACAATATAAACATATATATACTCAAAATATTATTCGAGTATGACAATTTCAACTCGTGATCATCTAACAAATTGTATACAAACTTGAACCGTTATTGAAAACCAAGTAATTGCCACTTATAAACACACTATGTTTGTATCGTTCAAAATATTTAATTTGATATTCCTATAAATATTTTTCAAACTCCACCGTTATAATTATATTAATATAGAAGTTAAATGCATTAACAAAACTAAATTGATTTTAATCAATTTTAGAAGGTTTAATAAAATCTGAAATTCTAATAAAATTGTTTTCATTATTTTTTTTTTATTCATCTCCAAAATCGGCTTTTTTATTATTTATATGATACGTATTTACGTGTAAGTTTAATACTGATAAAACTGTTACTTTTATTTCTCTAAAAGAAAAAAAAAGGTTTGTAAAATTATAATTTAGAAGTAAGATATCTGATTTCAAAGACGATGGCACAGAAATATCAAATTTTACTTGATAAGAATCTATATTTATATTCGATGTAGTTTTCCTTAGAAATATTTAACTTCAAGAATTGAACATTGTAGAAAATAGAAATAAGCATCGTAGTGTTATAAAATTTCATATTATCGATCTAAAAGAATTCAATCCAACAGAAGAATAATCTGAATAAGTAAAACAGTAAGAATAAAATAAAATTCAAAAGATCCTTTGACAAATGTATGTTTGTTAAATCGAGCGGCATATTATAATATAAAATCAAGCGATGTAACATAATATATGTAATACCTATACCGAMTCAAACTCACTATTAACATATACACTTGGTTTGAATAATTGAATAATATTTCAATATTTTACTTATCAATTTATTCAGATGTACAAATTTATGTACCGAAAAGAGTCTATACATTTTTTAAATTGGAATTATAGTATTAAAAGCAAATAAGTATCTTATAATTTATTTAATTAAAATATACTCTATTTTGCTATAAGCTTTTTAAATGTTAAATACATGTTATCTGAGCAATTGATAACGCTATAATATATATAGTTCCTTTTCAGTCGAACAATAATATACAATTAGTTATTAAATGTGTCTTGAATTAATGAAAAAATCATAGAAACAGTCAATTTGGTAATATAATGTACGTGTCTGAAAGTAACGTTTACGTCACTATAAATAGAAGCGTTAACAACTATAACGTCAAAATGACGATTCACTCGGAATTAAAATAATATTATTACGTTACCTGCAAAACACTATTATTAATCATCTACTCAGTGCATATTACCTATGTATTTATATATAAATATATAATCAATGATTATTATTAATTATCATCGACCTCTCGTCTATTCACCAAATTTCAACATTACAATAAGTATTTTAACAATAATTATTTAACAATAATTAATACCAAATAATATGAATATAATATAATGATGTTGCGCTGCAGTTCACAAAAGTTGATCCACTTAACTTAAGATGCTAATTATTTCAAAAATAATAAACGTTTTTGGAAATATTTTTTTTAAATATTATTCTAAATCGTTAGAATACAAAATGTGTAGATAATAATAGTATTTTTTTACCATCTTATCGGTATAGTTTTATAATTTTTATATTTTTTTAATAGTTAATGCAACATGCCTTATTCATTACTTATTTCCAAGTAGTTTATATTTTGGATATGAATATTAGATAAATTTAARTATTTTGGACGAGTATTTTATGAGTGAGTGGTGGAAATCCTAAACTTATTATGACCAAAATGATGATTTTTTAAGTGAAGTAATTTTTCGTTTCACAATATTTTCAAAAAAAATCAACCATTTATATATAGACAAACATTTTGATGGTAATGATTTTTTTTTAAATATTTAATAATATAGTATTATTGTTTTAAACGATTCAAATGTGTTCAATATACAAAGATTATATTTTAAATTAAATTTCAAACATGAATAAAATTTAAAAAATAAAATTTCAGTACTTTTTGGTTTAATTATTTTACTTCCTTATACCTACAAGTTGTAGGCTACAACAGAGTAATAGTATGTATTTAAATAACTCAATAAAAGTACATTTCGGAATGATTTACATAAATAGTTAGTTTTGATATGGTTAATTGTATAACATGAAAATACTAAATTTGTTAGTGTAAAACTGGAAAAGTACATTTTTGTTATCTAAATATAATATTGTATGTATGAAAAGGGTTCGTTTTGATTTAACCAGTAATTTTGAATATTCAATTTTCCAGGGAATAGTAAAATTTGATCTATTCTAAGGTCGGACGGTCCATTAGAATCTATATCTAACTCGATTTAATCTATTTGGGTAATATAATGTTTTGAATTTCCACCTTTAAGTTATAAGTATTTAATGTTTAGATGAGTAGAGTGAAGTGTTATCCCGCAAAATGTTGGTACATTATTATTATACTCGTTTGAACGTTGAATACGTATAACTAACAAACCACAAGGTAGTAAAAAATTTGATTTTTATCTAAATACTCTGAATAATATTCTGCTTCGAAAAATGATATAAAAAAATTTGATATCTTTCTTTAAAGTAAAAAATCTAACAAAAAACACAATTTTAAACTATAATAAGTCTGTTTTTTTCTTTAAAAATGTTTTTTTTTTTTTGTATGACATTAATTGTATCAAACTTGACGTATAATATTATTATTGTTATAGTGTATATAATATCTTATCAAAAACATGTAGCATTTTATTTTTACGATGACATTAAGACTATTTTAAACAGTGRCATTATAATATTATAAATATTATTTTTGTTAAAATTATCATTATTATCGCGACAGTTTTCGCGTCGTGCTACGAACTCGTAAAGTATATTATATCTCGTGGATTATTTGCATGCGATAWTTAATAATAATATTATAATCGTACTCACGGTATCGCAAAGTCGTATCAACGAAAATGAGTCTGCCTCTGGACGCGCGCTGGTGTACCAAAAGTCATTCCGTCACAGACTCCGAGAGCGGTGTGTGATTTTGGTGGCAGTCTGCATCGCGTTTTACCACCCCACATGATGGGCTGGTGGCATGGTGGCGGTGCTGGAGGTGGAGGACATGATCGCCGCCGCCACCGTAGTCGTCGTCGTCGTCGTCGGCGTCGTCGTCGGCGGTGTTGGCGATCGCACGCAGACGCAACCCTTTTGCTCTTCTCCACTCTCTGACTRCCACACGGTTTCCACTCAATGCCACCCTTTCACCGCACCACGTACCGTTTTCCAGTCACTGTTTTACTTGTACACAAAAAATTATTATTATTATTTTCTGCCACCATACGTCCTTTTCGACTCTAACTATTAAGTACACTAATTTTAAATAAATATAAATATATATATAAGGTATGATTCACCATGCATGCTCACCTCTAGCTCTTCGTTTATAAAACAATTCATATAAATTTAGAATTTTTAAATATATATACATATATTATAATTTTTTTTTCTTTTATTTTAAAGTGCTTCGGACATACAAGGTCATCGAACTTATTGATATAATAAAAAAAATTTTAACATCATGAAGTTGTTAAGCGTAAATTAATTACAATATATACAGTAAATTATAGTAATTACAAAGATTATCATATTATCATATCATCAACTTCTAAAAATTTTTTTACTACTTGAGGAATTTCCCGTGGCGATACAAATATTTGTGAGTGAAAAATCACCCGTCAAATAAATTACAGTGGAATAGGGATTCTGCTATTTGAAGGACAGTAGTTTTTAACTCGTCAGGACTCTTCATAAGTATTACAAAACATCTCGATAGTATTATGTAATATGGTTTTCAAGTATTTTTAATAATTCCAAAAAAAATGATTTTTGAAAAGCTAATTGCGTTATTAAAGAAGAAATATGGAGTAAGTATGCTCAGTGAATCGACCTGTAGTGTATAATGTATATATATATGCATATTAGGTATATAATATTTCAATCACCTTGAGACACCGTAATATTGCAATGTACGTAGGTGCACTTGTAATATTACACATACGTGTTTTTTTCAGTATTTGTACCCTAAATGTTTATTATGGACTATAGTCGTATTTACTTTGATTAGATTCCAATAATTTTTTTTTCTTTTATGGTATACACTTCGTACACATGATTATTGGAATTCCATACATATTATATTTTAACTCACCRTCGAATAACCATATTATATTATAATTATTGTTGGTATCGTGTTCAGACGATGATAATTTTCTTGACGTTCTTTCAGGTCTTCAATTTGTGAACGTCGAACATATTATTATAGTTAGTAATAATTATAGTTTATCCCACATGTGTATTACATATTAAGCATTCCACGTTTAGATGAGTGACGACGTAAATTACTATTGTCACGGCGCTCCATGACTTTTTACTATACACACACGGGGTTGTCATTTAGACAATGAAAATGTTAATTAAATACTGATTGAAAAATTTAATTTTACGACTTCTATGATTTACACCAAAACTTCTGCTTTTTGTGCCGAGAAAAATGAAAAAAAATTCTTATAAACACCTAGCAAAACATTATATTATATTCGGCGATTTAAATTTTGTTGAATTTTGTTGAAAGTATTGTACCTTCGTGTTCACCGTGATAGTATATAATGCGAGAACAGTTGATGACTCGGTAACAATTTTCCACCTCATTTGTATAATAATAATGTATGAGCTTTCACTCTATGCACTCTCGGCAGTCGCTAACTCATTTACTCGGTAACCTCGTATAGTTTGTGTTGCACCAACCATTACATTGTGTCCATAGTATAAAAATCCAATTGCAATGTRTCCATAGTTTTCGCTAACAACTTTATTTATATTATTTTAATATAAATATATTTCTCTGTACCTATATTACTAAATACCTCGTGATTTCTTCACACATTTAAGAGTATAATCCATAATTATTGACGTACAGTATTACGTTAAAAAAAATAAAAATAAATTCCATAAAAAATGCATTTTTTAAATGAATTTCAATGAAATAATTCCAACGTTTATCTGTGACTATTTTTCATGTAAATATACGATGGTATGTACGAACATAATATATATATATATAATACACATAATAATTTCATATACATGTAAGAGTAATATTATTAACAAATTATATCTTATGATATGTTTTTATAAGCATCGAAGTTATGCAGGTATTATTAAATAATGTTTGTATTTCACCCTTATTTTTTTTTCATTCTTCTAAAGAAATTTTATTTATGGAAATAATATAATGTTATTAAATTATAATTTTAACATCTAACCTAATTCATAGGCTACTTAACAAATGAAATGATACAATCACATTATTTAGAATATTTTTTATTACGTATATGCTTGAGTTACGCCTTCGCCAAAATGAGATAATAATAGTATTGCATTTTAGTAAAATTATGAACCCATACAAAATAAAAGCCCAAGYCTAATAATTATTAAAATTGTATGGGAAATGTAAACTGGTCAATTACATACGTAAAAATACTAATCTTTGACACAAATGTCTTAAGTACACAAAATACTTCTGTTTTAATTTTTTAATAAAAATTAAGTAGTTTATATACGCGTAGCTAAAATAGATGTGTTACTTGAATACCGAAAAGAATTTCAAAGGTTTTATTTTAACTTTGAGTTGTATGTAGTGTATAGCTACTACCTATGTTATAAGACATATATAGCAAATCTTAATCATTGTTTTAATGTAATCACTTCTGATGTTTTTCTTGAGCATTTGACAATGCGACGGTTAAGTGTTGTTGAATAGATAGATGGCGGTAATTTTGTTAACATTATAATTAACAATGTAGCTATTATAGTATGTTTTTTCTGTGCATGTCGACTGATTTTTTTCTTAACAAATGTCGATAGCTTTACGTCACGATGAATACCATAATTGTGTTCGTGACGATAATAACAACATACTTTTGAATTTCGGCATTAGTACTAAGGACGATTTTTAGTAGCACTGAACATATGGACTATGGTATTGATAACCAACACATAATTTGCAGTTATGTTGTGTATGAAAAAAAAGTTGTATTATATTGTCACTCATACAATAGTAAGATTACAAACGCAATCGTAAACAAATTATACTTTACGATTTTATAAAACCATCTAGAATAATATATGGTAGGTATAATATCATGAGTTTAATATATTTATCATATACGTCATATTAATCACGAGGTTTTTGATTGATTGTTTTAGTAAAAATTTAGATCTATAAATCCCATAAAACAAAACCCGAACTAAAGTAAGTATAGATTTTAATTAAATTTCTGAAAGTAGTACAACAATATTTTCTTTATGTCTTATAAATGGCAATTTTATCTAAAAAACACTGAAATAAATATTCCGTAAAAATATTAGTACTCTACTTGTATCGAAAAGTTGTAAAATAATAGAAAAATTTTTCTTCCTTGGAGAGAGATTTGAAACCAGTGATCTTTCTGACCATGGCATCTAAGTTGGTTTTTCTACATTTTCGTTAAAAATTGTTTTTTTAATAGAAAAATTGACATTTCTATAAATTACAATAATATAGGTGTAATAATTTTTAATCTTTAGTTTGTCTGTATGAAATAAACTATTTTAAAACATTCCACTCAAAAAAGTTGTCTTGTRCACTTACAGAGTAATAATATCCAATATTCTGAAATAACCAATATACTACCTATAGTTAATATATTRTTTTGACGATGGCTGTTAAAAACTAATTATCTTACAACAAAACTTATAATGTAAATTAACAATATTAAAAATACCACGCAATAAAGTSATAAAGACAGGAAAATGTTTACTCTATAAATTATTAGGTAACTAATTTTTTTATTTTTTTTTTTAATAAATTTAAATTCCTTGGATTTAAACTCATATTCATAATTCTTGATATTTAAGACAGTTAAGATTCTGGGTTACACGATGATAAATATGATTTTAACTCTGTCTATACCTATAGGATAAAATACCATACATTTAAAGTGTATTTATTTTMAATTTCAAGAACGAGAATATTAAATAAATTATATACTTAATGTATATGAATATTGTATAAAAATCCTTTTGTCGAAATACAATTGAACTTGATCAAATATATTTGTTTTGGATAAATTGTATCAATTAAATACAAAACTTAATACAGGTTAATATTGCAACTGGTCGGTATTAATACTCGTACATTATAATAGCTATCTGGTAGGAATTCGTTATCTTATCTTGTTCAAATAAATAAACTTTAAAGTTTTACATGTTTATGGTTAACTTTTTTACTTAGAATGAATTATCTTCTTAATGGCCATTATTTTTAGAACTTCTTGGAAATGAAACTTTTTTCATCATAAATGTAAATGATAATAGAGCAATATTTAACTTGTATAATTGTACAAACAAAGTGATTAATTTGTATAACTCTTAAACTCTCTTTTTTCTAAAAGGTATCCGATTTGTATGAAGTTCCAGCTGTTAAGAAAAGAGAATGTAGAGAATTATTAAAACGCTTGCAGTTTAAATATTTAAAACTCATCCCGCTGTATAGTTTATTTGCAGGTTTTCAGTGTATCTWGCCATTTATTAGGATACCACCATCGTCACTGTAATGTAAGAGTTAAAATTAAATTAAATTATAATTTACTGAGTAAAAATGAATTAGAGAATCGGCTTGAATTTAATAGGACATTTCATAATATATTTATATATTTGAATTAATTATTTTTCTAAAAACGTAAATGTTATGGAATTAAAACATTGATCAATAACAAAAACATCGCGTATATTTTATATATACTATTAAAAAWTTTTATTTTATTTTAGTGTTCAATTGTARGAATAATGTACAAACAATTAAAGAGTTGACTGAGAATTAAAGAGTTAAAAAGTTTTAGATTATTTTAAACTAAGTGACAAAACTAAATACTTCTGATGTTAATAATGAATTATTCGTCTTATTCTGAGTTCTAATCTTGGTCTTTGAATTYTTTAAATTCTTTAAGA